AAAAGGAAGATAAAATCTCCAGAGTAGCCATCTTATGGCTTTGATTGGACCGCCTTTCTGACGGATGTGATGATTAATTGGCGTCAACATTTGAAGCCCCTCTCTCTCAATGTCTATCTATTTTCACGGGTTTGGTACGTTGTTGTCCCGTCTAGAATTTTCCCCCTACATTCTTTGAATGCACATATCACTATTTTGACCACGCAACCGATCCCCACAAGTTACGCTCTTTGTATTCATACATGTGCAACAAACACGTACAATATGTAGAAAACATAATCAATCAGTCTCGAGAACAATTACAATACATCACGATCTGATCATTATAACGCATATCATTTGTCCTAAAACAACAACCAAACCTTTTGGATGCCAAAAATGGAAACCCAAATGACACCATTCATTTCATCATCCTTCATAAGTCAAATACCAATCCCGGACCCGTATATATATATATATGATTACGGTGACTGGGAAAGAGAAAAAAAAAGGTAGAAATGAAATAGAGAACCGTTTAAAACTTGGCTTTGGATTTAGAAATCCTTGAAATCTTGATGACCAAGCAAACACGGAATAAACAAAAAGTAAAAAAAAGTGTTGTAAAAAAGGCGCAGTAAAGCAAGAAAACTGGCTATTGTTCCCAAAAGGCATGGTCAAGGGAAGAACCTGAACCACCGCCGCCGCCACCACCACCACCAAAAACCCTAAAGAAGCCATTGTTGTTATCAGAAGAAACACAAGACGGATGGTCGAGCAAATCCTCGACTCTCCAACCGGGCAATGTCTCCATCAAATACTCTGATATACTTCCCGACCCGGAATCACTCAACTGATGACAGTTCCTCTCCTCGAACCCGTAATAGCAATTGCTCGTCGATTGCTGCGTGGATGGAGAACTGAACAGCTCGCTTGACACCGAGCTCGTCGTTCTTCTCATCTGGTTACCGCCCGACACAGATCCCGGTCTGGACTTAACCGGGCCGGTTTGGTCGGAGGCTTTCGTGTAGGCAGAAGGCGAGGCCGAGAGCTTGACGCCGGTTAGAAGGAATCTGTTGTGTCTCTGAGTGTGTTCGTTGGCTTGGTGTATTGGGACGTCACATTCTCTGCAGAGAATCGCTCTGTCTTCCTGGCAAAACAACAATGCTCGTCGCTCCTGTCGTGTTTTTCGACGATGAAGATCATTACCACGTTAAGGTCATTTGTTCGGTTTTCCTAATCTAACATTATTATTTATCAGAACCAAATTGTTTTTTTTTAACATTAAACAGGAGGGTTTAAATCGAGGCAAAGGACGAAGTGGGGTACCCTTTGATATTTTCCTTCCCTTTTCATTATATATATATTATTATAGTAGTTAGTGGTTCGAGATATTTATTAAATTAATTATGCCCTTAATCATATCAAAGCTTGATCTTAATTATCATTGAGCAAAAAAAAAAATATTTTTTCCGATTTCATTGACACTGTTTCCAAGAACTCATCTTCCCAATTCTCCAGGCCAGTGGAGGAGCAATTTTTCTGGGCAAAGAAATGTTTCTTTCTCAATCCAAGATTTATGCTTCTGGGCTGAGAAAGGATCATTTTCCCGAGAAAACGACGGAAAATCGATCAGTTTCCAACCCATCAACGAACGAATCTCGGAAAGGAGAACAAGTCTGCGACTTTCCCAGAAAGAAAACAAAAATCCAGAAGCAATTTCGGAGTGCAAGCTCTCCATAACAACAACCCGCGAATCTCGAACTGAAACTTTCCCGGGAAAGTCTTCTCGAAAGTGATAAGAAAGTCGGGGAACAGCAATCATACCCGGCAAATATCGCAGAGAGGAGAGTCCTTGAAAGAGGGAGAGGCGAGAGAGAAACGGAGATGCTTTCCGGCGAGCTTGTTGGCGAAGTGGACATGGCGGTCGCAGCCATGGCAGAGAGCTGCTTCATCTGCGCAACAGAACACTGACGCTTCCTCTTTGTCACACACATCACACCAAATCTTCATCCTTGGAAACAGAGATTCACAAAAAAAAAGTATTTTTTCTTTTTTTTTTTCCAAAGAGAAATTTCCCAAATCTACAAAAGACTTGCGTCCTTCTCACCCTTTTATCCTTGTACTAGTATGTACTGTGTCTGGACACAGACACATGCATATATATGTATGTATATGTGTGTGTATAGGTGATGGGGATGGTGTAGAGAGGTGTAATGGGAGTATGGGCCAAAAGGGAATGTGTTGGCTTTATAGATAAGCAGCAGCAGCTGCTGCTAGGTCTCTCCTTTGTCTTTTAACTATTCCTCTCTTATTTATTCACAGTATAATGTTTTTCCTCACTCACCAAATAAACCGGTTTGGTTCTATTGGTTTGGTTTGGTTTGGTTTAAGAGTAAGCAGTGATTACATATATAATTTTTTTTAAATAGTCGGCTGAGTTCCAAAGCACCTTTTTCACATGGAAGAAGGATCTCGAAATAATATCCAAAACTCAAACTGTTTCTTCTTATCTCTTTC